AAACAACTATAAAGGACTGTTGCATCTAATTCTTGTCCTGCATTTACAATTTTTACTTTTTCACCATACAGACTTTTATTTGACAACATATATCGAAATTCATACTTGCCACTTGTAGGAGAACGGCCACAAAGATTCAAAAGATTTATATATATTCCTTTTGTTTGTTTTGCGTAGTCCATTAGAGACATACCTTCTGGTATTTCTACTTCTCTTGTTTTAGTTTGCATATTAATTGCTCCTTTTACTTTTTGCATTCTTTATAAAAATTCTTCAACCATCTACTTTCATTTAGTGGAGGAATATCATCTAGAGCTATAATGGAGTCTGCTATTTCTATTATTTTATCCATTAGTATTGCAGAACCATCAAGTAAGTAATTATTTTCATCTAATATTTTGAAACGAGATTTGTATTTGTTTCTTATTACATTTACAGCTCTTTCATGTATTGGACATAAACCTAAAACCGCAACCTCATCTGCTATATAAAAACCTTCTGAAATTTGATTATATAGTTTATAGTTGTTTTTTCTATGGTTATAAATTTTACTTTCTGTGGTCTTATACTTTTGTGCAATAATTTTTAGCGGAGTACCCCATGCCATATTGATGATTATCTCCATTTTAGTGTCTGGATCCATCTTCTGTAATAACATTTTTGACTAATTCTCTTATATATAGGTTTCTCCATTCAAATAGTACATCTAATAAATAGAACTATAAAAATTAATTAGTTTGAGAAAAATTTTTAATTGCATTTTTTATTAAGTTCAATATAATACAGAAAAAAGGAGAAAATTTTGATAAACCGTCACGAAATGTTAAGAGCTTTGAATGTTGCTTTTGATGAAACTGTAAATTCAGAATATCGCCAAAGAATGGCTGCTTGTTTATTAGATAAAGACGGAAATATATTATCAATAGGACATAATACCAAACAACCATATTTTTGGATGAAGCAAAAAAACGGATATAGGCGAGATCAGAGAGGTAGTCATTGTGAATTGGATGCTGTTAGAAATTATGTTACTAAAGTTATAGATTCAAGAACAATAATGGAATTGGATGTTGCTGGAGTTGGTGCTATGTTCACAAATAAAATAACCAATCCAACAGAAAGCCAAGAAAAGTATTTTTTTGAGTTTTGTAAGATCCTTAAAGATTCCTATGATAGTTGTAGCAAGAAGAAAAGGCGGGATTATTATCTGATACTAGAGGAAGCTCAAAACCATGTAAAGGATGTTGGGAATTTTTACGTAGATGTGGAATAAAATATGTTGTATACTATGATGAAGATAATCATTTTGTAGAAGAAAAAATCAAATAAAAGGAGTTAAAATGATTAATTTTTATTATTCTTGTAGTTGTGAAATGGATGCTTTGAGATTAGATGTAAATAAAAATCCAGCCAATAATGTACCATATGTAACTTATTGGTCATTATTTACTTATATGGGATCGCAAAGATCTGCATGGTATTTATGGTGGAATAAGATTAAAGATTTTTTTGCAATATTGTTCAAGGGATACACAAACAGAGGACAAGATGTTATATGTTTACCAAAAGACAGAGCACAACAATTATTGAAAGATCTAAAAAAAGCAACGGGATATAAACCAAAAAACAGAAAAAAAATGTAGGTTTATTTGGGTACTTATTTCCATGATTTGGGTACTTTCAATGCATTACTTGTTGAACCAGATACTTTTGATGATACTTTTACAATTTGGATATGCCCAGAGTATTTATTGTGGGGAAAAGCACACAAGATGGTCAAAAGCTTGGGAGAGTATTGAAAAATGGTTGTTGGACTGTTGCTGATTTATGTATAGACGATGAAGAAACAAAAAATTTTATGGATTATCTAAATACAATGTTGAAAATGAACTGGAGGGATTATGAAGATGAAAATGAAGGAAATCAATAATGAACTAAAATGCATAAAAGTACCGCACACGATAAAAAAGTCTGATGTAAAACTGTATTTGGCTTTTTATATGGAGCATGTGAAAGAAACAGATACGCCAGATGATATTGAAAAGATGTGGAAACAATTCAAAAAATCCATAAAAAATGCTGCTAAAAGTGTAATTGAAAGATCAAAGGAATTATAATTATGAAAAAAGATATATTATTGTTGGGTCAGATTACAGAAAAACATGCTAAAGTCTTTGATAAACTAAAAAAAAGAAAATGTTTGTTGGTGAAGTTTTATGTTGTTCCTGTTATTGGTAGGAATTCTTTAGTTGATCATTTTAAGTTAGATGATGCTGCTACAAATAAAAACGTGACACTAACAATGATAAAAGAAAAATATATTATAGTAAAAGGCAAAATTCACACAGAAAATTTTATTAGACCTATTATAGAGTTGAACAAATATTTTGGTGGTGATAGATTGATTCATTGTGGAATATTTAAAAACACAAAAACAGATCAAACTTTTATATTGACTGATGCTGCATGTAACTTGAGGTTATTGAATGCTGAGGATTTGATACCAAAAGCGATTCAATATGCTACAGAAGTTTATTTGAAATGTGTGTGGGAGAAAAAAGAAATATATACATCTTTATTGTCTGCTGGCGGTGAAAACAATAGAGAAACAAATCCATTTTATCACGATTGGTGGAATAAAAATAGATTTGAATACCCAGAAGGACAGCTGAGAATAGAACAATTAGATGTGGCACTCAATAAAAACATTAGGGAATCAAAAGGTATAAGTGGTCCAGTGTCAGATGTTATTGTTGTAAAAGATATAAATGAAGGTAATGCAATTTGGAAAAGTCTAACAGCACTAAGTGAAAATTGGATTTGTGGAGGGCTTTTGATGGGGGCTAAATTACCGATTGTTCTAAATTCAAGAGAAGACACCGCAGAATCTTTAGAATTTAGTATTAGATCGTCTTTTAACTTGTGATTTAAATTAAAGATGCTATAATAAAGGTGTTGGACCATAATGAAATGAATAAAGGAGATTGATAGGGGTAACCTGCTAATGTGTGCGGAGTTATTGAGACTCTAAGGGATTTTTCCAAGGATACAATCTCCATAATCCTTGGACAATGGTGTGGCCTAGAGAATGTGAGATAGAGACGCACTGTTTGTAAAATAGTTGACCCAACACAACCTAAGGCTGGAATGGTTTTCGTTTACCGCGGTCCAACAATAAAAAGAGAATAATATGATCACAAAAGAACAATTTATTGAAGAAATTACCGCAATAATAGAGGCTCAACAAAAAAAAACAGATTATTGAGGATGGGCTGAACGATTATATAAAGGGTGTTTTTCATTGTGTTCCGGATGCAAATGAAGAAAGGGCTGTTAGATACTTGTCGGGATTGATTGGATTGGGTATTGATAGCGACTCTCCTTTGATGGAATGGTATTATAATCCTTTTAGAGATGGTGATGAAAATACCGACTTTTGTGTTGAGGTTGATGGTGAAAAACAAATATTAGTAACGCCAGAAGATTTTTACGATTTTTATTGCGGAGATCAAAATGACAAAATTTAGACTTTTTAGCGACAATCATTACTATCACAACAAATATTACAATGAAGAATACACAAATGAGATGTTTTCAAAGCTGAATGATGGTTTTGATGGGATAAATTTAATAGCTGGAGATGTTGGTGCTAGTCCAGATGAAGTAAAAGATTTCTGTGATACATTTATTCCTGGTCAAAGAGCCATTATTATTGGTGGAAATCATTTTATGTATGGTTGCCAAGCTAAATATGAACAAATTAACGAAGAATATGAAAAAGTTTTTGGTGATTACATGTACGAAGAGTCACCGGCCATATTTATCAACAGAAAAGATATTATTGAGGGTAATTATGGTTTAAATGCTCCTGTTGTATTTGGTGCCACTTTATGGACTAATTTTATGTTGAATGGTGTGGAAAAACAATTGAAAGCCATGTCAGATGCTGAGTTTGGTGTTAGTGATTTTCGTTGTACTTATTCTGTTTCCGGAAGCTCTTATCGTGGAATTATTTTGTCTGCTTACGATATGTGGAAAGAATTTGAATACACGCTTGCTGATATAAAAATGACATATACAAGAGCACAACAACAAGGAAGAAAGTTTATATTGATGACGCATTTTCCTGTTACGCCTGAATCAACCGCAGAAGAATTCAAAGGATCACCACTAAATCCTTATTTCTGTAATGATTTGAGAAAATGGATAATTGAAAACATTCCAAATACAGCATTTATCCTTCAAGGTCATCAGCATAATCGTTGGCAAGGCAAAATAGAAGGTGAAGGTGTTTCAATTCCAGTTTATCAGAATCCATTTGGTTATATATCTCAGAATGAATCATATAAAGAACCAGAATGGAATCCAAACTTAATTGTAGAGGTAGAATAATGAAAAAGAAAAAATTGTTTATATTCTCTGATTTTGATGGGGTATTTGCTAGTTTTGCTACTTGGGGAAATTCAACAGAGATAGCAAAAAAACACTTCGAAATAAAAGACTTGGATATGAATAGGTTGAATTTCGTTGATAGAATTTGCCGCAGACTTGATAAAAATACCGAAGTCTGGTTTATTAGTATATCAAGTTGGAAAGAACAATATAATCAACACCTGAAAGAAGTAAAAAAGCTTGCAGGTATAAAAAGAATGAAATTGATATGTGATGAAAATGCTCCAGTTAGACGGTTTAGTGAAAGAGAGCCATGGTGTAGACTAAATCTTATCAAATACTACATAGACACATACTCGCCAGAAAACTTTATTATATTAGATGATGAGTTTCAGTATGAGTATAAAAATCACGGTTACGAAGAACAACTAATAGTAACTGATCGATATGATGGGTTAAATTATAACACAATGAAAGAACTACAAAAGAAAATAGAAGCTTGTGGTTTGAGTAAAGAAGTTATAGAAGCAGAAAAACACAGACAAGAAGTTATTTCTATGCTGGCTGGTTGTGCTATATAATAAAAACAATAAGGTAAGGAAAAGAAAATGATTATACACAACGATGTTCAATTAGATTTTGATGATGTTCTAATTGCTCCACAGACTACTACAATCAATCACAGAGGGGATGTAGAGATCGTAAGAGAGTATAAACATTTAGGAGTTTGTGGTATTCCTATTATTTCAGCTAACATGACTCAAACTGGTACTTTTGCTGTTGCTAGTAAGTTATTGGAAAATGAATTCTTTGCTACACTACATAAATTTTATAAAGCAGATCAGATCATTGAATTTATAAAAGAGCAAAAAGAGAAAGATATTATTTATGGTGGTATTGATGGTTGTGGCGAATATTATGGTAATGAAAAAAATTTGTTTATAACCGTAGGAAAACGCAATTGGGAAGAAGAATTTAAGAAAGTAGAAACTGTATATAAAGAAACTGGTGCGTTGGTAAGTGTATTACTAGATGTTCCAAATGCTTATATTCCTGAAATTGTAGATTGTGTAAAACAGTTGCGTGAATTTATGAATAAACAAAACTTTCATGGTGGGTTGATTGCTGTGGGTAATGTTTGTTCTGGTGATGAAGTTCAAAGTTAATATTGGCTGGTGCAGATTTCGTAAAAGTTGGTATTGGTCCTTCTCCTGTTTGCGATACTAGAATCAAAACTGGATGTGGAAGGCCTCAGTTGTCAGCTATTATTGAATGTGCAAATGCGGCTCATCAGGTAGGCGGTTATATTATTGCTGATGGTGGTTTCAAAACTAATGCTGATTTTTGTAAGGCTTTGGTTGCTGGAGCTGATATGTGTATGAGTGGTTCAATGTTTGCTGGATGTGAAGAATCTAACGGAGAAAAGATCCAGAAATGGTATAAAACAGAAGAAGTTGATCCAGACACGTTGAAAAATAAAATCACATACAAATTTTTCAAAGAATATTATGGAATGAGTTCATTTAGAGCTCAAAGAGAAAATTATGGTAAAGTAACATCAACTGGTACAAGTGAAGGTGTTGAATGTAAGTTGGTTCCATATACTGGACCAATACAAACAACTATAAATGATATATGTGGGTCTTTACGTAGTTGTGGTAGTTACATTGGTGCTAAAAACATAAAAACTTTTAGCCGCCAAGGTATGTTTTATAGAGTAAATAGAATTAAATAAGTACAAATTTTAGTTCTATATTATTATGATAAATATAGAATTAAAACCACGACTTTAATTCTAAATCAACTAAGTTCCCTCTGGTGTCGTGGCCAGAGGATTTTTATTACAAAAATGACAAAAGAAGAAATTATAAAAGAATATAATGTAAATGTTTCTAAATTAAAAAGAAATTATATTATAAACCCTTTGCAACGGATTGATGGTTTTCATTTGTCTGAATTTCCAATAGATGTAGATTTTATTTATTTGTTTATTGAGTGTAATATGAGGCGTAGCGATTTAAGTGTGTTTTTTGGTGTCGCAAAAACCACTATTGATAATTTTGTAAAAAAATTTAATTGTAGAAAATCTAAAAAACAATCTTATAAAAACAGTAGTAAAACAGTAAATAAAAAATATGGTGTAAAAAACATATTTCAAATTAAAGAAATCAAAGAAAAACAAAGAAATACAGTAAAAGAAAGATACGGTGTTGATAATGTTTCACAAATAGATTATATAAAAATCAAAAAAATAATTACAGAAAAAGCGAATAATTCATTTGGAAAATCAAAGGATGAAGATAAAATATATAATTTATTGTGTTTAAAGTATAAAAATGTTGAGCGGCAGTATTATAATAAAGAATTATATCCTTGGAAGTGTGATTTTTATATACCAAAATTAGATTTATATATTGAATATCAGGGGCATTGGTCTCATGGTGAAGGAAAATGTCATGAACCATATAATAAAGATAAAATAGAACATTCAAAAATGTTACATTTATGGCAAACAAAAGCCAAAAAAAACAACAGATATGAAGATGCAATACGAACATGGACAGTTCGTGATCCACTTAAACGTCAAACTGCAAAGAAAAATAATTTGAACTGGATTGAATTTTTTACAATGGATCGTTTTATGGAGTGGTATAATAATATTAATGTTGATAAAGACATTAAAACGTACAATAATGAATAATATGAACACAAACAGAAAATCTTGGGTATATATAAGGAATCCTGACCAACTATATGATAAACCTTGTACTGAAAAAGAGGCTAAATTAGGAAAGTCAGGATTCAAGATAAAAACAGCTCAAATAAAATGGGTCTGTGAAGAATATAAGACTTTTGGTTGGTGGACTGGTGGATATAATAGAGATGGCACATGGGAAGGTAATTGTTCAAAAGAAATAATTGTATGTGATTTTTGTGATTGTTGGTTCTATAATATAAGTACTGTACAAAAATGTGGTAAACAATTATATTGGAAAAATTTTGAGAGGTATGAAAAATGTTAGGATTATCAAAAACTAAAATTATCTTGTATGCTATTATTGCCATTGCTTTTTCTGGTCTCTTTGTGTTGTGGAGAACTTCTGTAAATAGCTATAAAATGGAAAAACAAACCAGAGAATCATTAGAGGTACAATTAAAAGCATCGCAATTGGAAGTAAACAACCTAAAAGAATATAATAAAAAAATAGCTCAAGAAATGGAAAAAATCGAAAAAGAATATAAAGAAAGATTCCAAAATATACCAAAAGATTCATGTGGAGACTCAAAACCATCAGAAGAATTGCTAAAATATCTAAAAGGAGAATAATATGAAAACGCTTGGTAAAATTATTGTTGTGTTGATTTTATTGTTTTTTATATTGATGTTGACTGGTTGTTTTGGTGGTAAAGATAATTATGTAGTTGTAAATGATTATAGACAAACTAATTATCCAACTTCTCAATGCTATGATGGAACCAAGACTTTTTCTCAAATTATAGTATGTTTGCAAGAAGTGGATCAAAAAGAAAAAGCTCAAAATAATACAACAAATGAAATGCTTGACAAAACAATAAAACACAATTAGAATATAAACAGATAATAATCATCCGTGTTGGAACCCCTCGAAATTATTCTTGGGGTTTTTTTATTTACAATAGAATTAAATATGTTATAATGAAGTTGTAAACAAAAGGAGTTATAAATGGCTTTGATACCAATGGTTATTTCTAAAACTAAGGATGGTGAACGTGCATGCGATATCTATTCTCGGTTGTTGTCTGATCGCATTATCTTTGTTGGTGAAGAAATCACAGACGAATTAGCAAACAGTGTAGTAGCACAATTGTTGTTTTTAGAATCAGAAGATAAAAATAAAGACATTCAAATGTGGATCAATTCTCCAGGTGGTTCTGTTACTGCTACTCGTGCTATTTTGAACGCTATGAATTATGTTTCTTGTGATGTTTCTACTTTGGGTATGGGTATGTGCGCATCTGGGGCATCTGTGTTGTTGGCTGGCGGTGCTAAAGGTAAGAGATTTGCACTGAAAGATACTGAAATTATGATACATCAGCCATTGGGTGGCGCAAGGGGACAAGCTACTGATATTCAAATTCAAGCAAAAAACATTCAAGACATGAAAGATTGGCTGGTGGATTTTTATTCTGATGTCAGTGGTGAAAAAAAGTCCAAAATCGCACAAGATATTGAAAGAGATTGTTATTTGAAGGCAGAAGACGCTAAAAAATACGGTAAAAAAGGCCTAATTGATGGTATAAAGGTAAGTCGTGAAGGTTAGTTTTGTGATTTTTAGCAATGATGTGCCAGAAAACCAAAAACTCTATGAAATAAACAATGCAGAAATAAAATTTGGCACTAAAAAGGTTGTAGAAAGAAAAACTGTAGATATAGATATTCGTGTTTTTCTTGCCTTGGTTTTGAGTAATAGAGTTTTTTGGAGATATAGAATGTATGATATGAACAACAGAAGAAGAAATGTTTGGTTAATAAGAGAAAAAGATTATAAAGAAGTAATCGAATAAGGATAAAATATGACAACCAATGAATTTTTTACAGCTTTTGAAGATTTTTTATCGGAAGACGAGACAACAAAGCCTTATATAAACAATTTTAAGTCAACTCTTATGGATCAAACATCTGAAAAATATCAAAATAGAATGTTTACAAGGACCGGATACAGAGTTGCTTTGATATTTTTTGAGCAATATGGGAAAAAGCATAAAGAATTTGAATCCCCAATCTGTTATAAGGGTTTTATTGATTGGAGAAATAGAAACATAGAAAAGATAAGAGAAAAATTGACAAAAGAATATGATACCGTTATGTATATTGGTAAAGAAAACTGTGATGAACAATGTAATTTTGTTATTTTTGATCCAAATGTGATAACAACAATTGAATTACTTGGTGGCATAGAACCTTTTTTGGATACTTTAGAGGATTAATATGAAACACGATTTGACTTTGTTTTTTAAAATGGAAATAATAACAGAATTTATGGACAAGTTTGATATGACAGACAGTTCTAGCAAAGTTTTTTGTCATATTTTTGATATTTCTATTGATACAGATGAAAATTGGTATTTGTCTCCAGCAGTTGTTGAAGTTTTGGATGAGCAATTAGGATGTGCAATTCCAAAGATCACAAATAAAGATGCTTGTTTTTTATGTGGTATTTATGATCATACTTTGAATGTGTTTTATAATTTCACAGATGTAAAAGATCACATAACAATGTTCTCTAATGGTAAAAATTTTGTATATTTCAACACAAAAGAGGATATAAAACAAAAACAATATATTGATGCATATAAAAAATTTATATTTAACAATAAACAAGCAAAAAACGATAGATATACTTATCTTTTATCTGGATGGTTTTGCAATAATCAAAGTGGAGATAAAAATGTTTCTTGTAAATAATAAACTTGTTGGAGAATATGAATACCCGATTTTTGATTATGTACCTGACAGTTTTATAATCAAAAATGTATTGCAAAACAAATTAAAATGTTATAAAATAGAAACAGACAAAGGGGATAATATCATCAATGTCTATTGGAAAAGGAGTTAGAAATGAATAAAGAAACTTTTATACAAAAAATAACAGATGAATTAGAAAAAATGAAAATAGCAAACCGTAAAAACTTTTTAAATAAAAGTTTTGTTTCGCCAAATATTGAAACAGATGCGGAATTGACCTTAAATGGAGCTCAAATTGCTGTCGTTATTTCTGATTCTGTCAATATGAAATATAAATTTTATAAAGTAGATGAAAAATATTTAAAAGATGACGGTAGAAAAAATATTATTCAAAAAATCAAAGAGCAATATCCTGGAATTATCTTTTATATTTGTAAAAGTGATAATAATGATTCGCCAAAGACAATTGATACAGAGCATAACATGATTGTATTTGAAAATGAAAATTTTGATGCTGCTGTTGAATTATGTGGCGGAACAGATAAATTTATGTCAACAATGATATAATAAAACGCAAGGAGAAAAAGATGAAATATCCGTGGGGGCTAGAAATCAAAGCAGATGTTACTATTGATGCAGACGATGTTTTGAATTATGTAGAAAACAACAAAGAATGGTTTTTGGAACAGCTTAATATACAAAAGTCGGATTCTTCAATGAAAGAAGATATAAAAAGTCTAGGTGATTATGTTGATTCTATTATTGATAAATATAACAGTGTAAGAATTTTACGTGATAATTCTAGTGACAACAGGGATAATATTGAAACAAGAATGTATGAAGATTTGGTTGCAATACGAGAATCGATTAGAAACATTTAAGGGGAAAATTATGAAGAAATTTTTATGTTTATTTTCAATGTTTATTTTAACAGCTTGTTCAAATCCAGAAATTAGTCGTCCATTTGGATATGGTAGTCCAACGTATTATAAGGTCCCGGAATGTTATACAGTTAGAGATTATCCTCAGTCGTATAAATCTTGGGATCCAATTGCTGGTAGATATGATACATATGTTACATATCAAAACACAACTCATGTAGAATGCAACTATAATCCGTTACAGCAACAATCTTTAAATAGTGTTTATTTATATGGTGGTAATTATTGATGCCTGTGATTATGTTGTATTTTTTCAGCATAGTGTTTATAATTGCATTTGTTGTAATTACACATGCTATTTTGAATATTGTGTTTGATGGAAATTATGTTTTTATTCAGGCACTTTTAGAGTTTTGTATGGATGTGTTTTGTGGATTGTATCAGTACTCTGCGTTGATACCACTGCTT